ATGAGCTTAGACTATCTGCTGAGATGTGCAATCTCACCTTCTTCACCTGGCACTACCTGCAATGCTTTCATGGCAATCCAGCAAGGACTGGACAGGAGGAGTCCAGCCAGCTGATGTTCACCCTTCCCCGTTAAAAATGTCTGCAGCTACTTACAGGGTGCTCAGCTGGGGAAAGTGGGTTTTAACTGGTCCTACAACGGAGCAGGCAGAACACACTATTTGAAGCTGTTTGCCCAATGAACCACACAGGAATCTCGGGCAGGGGTATACAGGTGTGGTGGTCCACTTCTGGGGATGACAATGATGCCGCCAGAGTCGAGGGAATACAATAAAGGCTCTGCTACCCCCGGTGTTAACTTCTTCATGTTAAAGCTGAGAATATTATTGTCTGTCTTCACGTCAGCTTCACCAGCACATCAAACTTGGAGTCCGTGTTCCCCAGTGTGACACAGGCGGTGGTGGACAGGACAACCACGCCAGCCAACAAGCCCCTTCCCTGTTCTCCAGCTCGGGTGCTTTCACTCACGGTGCCACGCTTCCATGTGCTTTGACTCAAATCTGGGCACTGCGTTCTATGAAAACTTCCACTCTGAAGTATTAAAGTGACTACACATTCTGAGCTTGAACTTGGCATCAAGCATGTATCTCAGCAGAAGTCAGATGACTGAGTGCAGAATCGTGGTAAGCCGGCTCTTCTGGTGTGGGAAGAGTCGCCGATAAAGCTGCACCCAGCTCCTCCATCCTCAGACGAAAATCCCAGCGGCAAGGGTTCTTTCCCAAGACGTAACCAGCAGGCTGCTACAACAGGAGGATATCCGAGATGAGATGTGACAGGTCACTGCCTCTGGCACGAACAGATCTCCATTTTTTTTCCCCTCGATGAACGAAATAATTTCACCTTCTTTCTGTAAGAACGAAGAGGCAGAGAGAGTGACGGAGCCCCACCTGCTCCAGTGGACAGCACTTGCGACGTAGGTTTCTCTGGATTCATCTCTGACAGTTCACCGCTAAGGACTGATTTTTATTGGAAAGGCAGACAAGATTTACAGAGAGAAGAGAAAGAGAAAAATCTCCCATCCACTGGTTCGCTCTCCAAAGGGCCGCAACGGCCAGAGCTGAGCCGATCTGAAGCCAGGAGCCAGGAGCTTCTTCCGAGTCTCCCATCAGGTGCAGAGGCCAAAGGATGTGGGCCATCCTCTGCTGCTTTCTTAGGCCATAAAGCAGGGAGCTGGATGGGAAGTGGAGCAGTTGGGACATTAAGTGGCGCCCATATGGGATGCTGGGCTTGCAAGGTGAGGATTTAGCCACTGTACCATCGTGCTGGGCCCAACAATTTACCTCTAACACTCAAATCTGTTCCCTGCAGGTGTTTGACATGGAGAAGGTTGAAGAGTTGGAACACAAACCGTTCCTCATGACTGTCAGGTCCCTGAAATCCAGGCGAAGACTGGACTCAAGCTAAAGGGTGAGGAGGCACGGGTCTTCATTTGTCACAACTCAAGATGCACGCTTCAGTGGCGCCCTTCTTAGCAAGAAGTCCCAATTTCATCTACTTCTGCGATGGCCATATTTTAGACATATAAACACCCAAGTGCATTAATGGCTTAAAACAACAACACTTTTATAAATGCTCAACCATTCTGCTCACACATGTGAATACAGGGGTCATGTACAAGCGGTCTTAACACTTCTCAAAGTCATCAAAACGACATTTCTCAACTCTAGGCATCACGACTTGCCAGGCCCTGTGCCACGTTTTACACGCATTTCATACTTCAGTCCTTAGACCCTCAAAGATAGTACTGGCATTGTCCCTGCTTTAAAGAGGAAACAGTGCTAGCAGCCAGTGACTTGCTGGAGATCTGATGAAGGTCTGCAGACCCACTTGAAGCTTTCTCAACTCCTGGGGCTCAAAGCGAGGAGATGCGCTTATCTCTGTGGAACCAATTGCTATCAGCTCCCGCCTATCCCTGCTTAGGGAAAGAACAGCATGAAATTGTCTAGACTTGGGGAAGGGAGATTACACAATTTTGATGAGGAAAAACCAGTCAAACTGTACATTCTGTGCCTAGAATCTTGGATGCACTGAAGAACCACAGCCCTCCACCCTCCACAAGCAACAGCTCTTAAAAGCACAATTAACCAGAGATTCAGCAAGCACGGCAATCCTATATAATAACGCTGCTGAGTAGGTATACGTGCAACATTTATATTCCTCTAATAGAAGATACTCTATGCACACATTCAAATATATATATATCTCCCTGGAATAATAAACCCATAGGGTCAAGTTCTGAAATAACTTGGATGGTGTTGAGGGCCTTTTTTTTTTTTAAGTATATATACTTTAAATACTTAAATTGAATGAATTACACTAACATTTGGCTATGTAAGTCTTGGAAACCTAGCCCTGCAGGCATTGTATGATTTAAAAAAATAAAAGCGCCATTTGGTGGTCTCATAATTTCTCATGACCAAAACTCCCCCGCCCCCTCCCCCATTATGGTGAATCCACTCCAGGAAGTGTCAGTGGCCGGTTTGTTCCAGGTGAGGTTCTGACACAGCCACAGGACTGTGGAAAGGGAGGAGCGGAATGGGCTTACCATATGTCCAAGCATGTTTCGGTCAAGTCAGTGGGAGTATTTAGTGCTCATAAAAGCATGGAATATTCTTGCAACTCAGAACCCGGCACGCCAGCTCCCCACGAGGTGGAAAGCAAGAGCTGTACTCTTTCCCCCCTGTTGGCAGACCCTAGTCACTAAAAACCCGGGTGAGCTCCTTTGACACACTGCATCACACATCCGCAGGAAGTATCTGCGGGGCTCCTGGGAGGCAGTTTAGAAACCCAACCAGGAGAGGGACTGAGCCAACAGTACAGAAACAAGCATCTTCATTCTCCCCAAACCCTTGCCGGGTCGCGAAGTGCCACCCTATATGCAGACTCTAAGACACCCCCCTCCCCCTTGCCAAGTCTTGATTCTCCAGAAAATAGACCCCCCAGTGGCAGCTGAGCCAGGAGGAGCTCCAAGACCCGTGCCAGCCGGCAAGCCTTTATCCAACCGAGTCTGGGTGGGTTCTAGCCTCGCCACGAGGGTGAAGGACCAAGAGGAGGCATGGAGGCAAGGAAGAAAAGGGAGAGAAAGGAAGAAGCGGTGGGTGGGGGGAGGGAAGACCTCCCGGACACACTTCTTTCGAGTACCAGGGAAAAAGAGAAGCCGCCTACTGACCTCAATCATCCCTCAATGACGGGGACAAAGGGAGGGGGCGGCGGGTGGCCCGGGACCCCCTCGGACACCCTACCCTCTGACCCGCCCCCTCCCCCTCCAGCACCGGGGAAGGGTAGACGCGCGGCAGAGCAACCTCCCGGCCCTGGGGCGAGAACCCCCTGCGCACTCCCGGCGCCCATCCATCCGCCCCCGGACAAGGCAGCCCGGTCAACACCGTGCCCACCCTCCGGGGCGTACCCTGCCACCCCGGGGGGCGGAGGGGGCTCCCGGAGCCCGAGGCCGGGCCACTGACTTAGTTAGATTTTTCTTGCTTACTCATTTCCCTCCAGCACCCAACCCCCCGTTCCCACTCCAAAACCCCCGCGCACTCGTCTCCCCCGGCACGGCCTCGGCCCAGCCCCGCCCGGTGCCCGCGCTGGTGGCGGCAGCGGCGGCACCCCCCGACCGTCCCGGTCACTAACCTGCTGCTGTAAGGGCATTTCCGAAACCAGCCTGGCTCCGGGGAGGCGGGGGCCGGCTGGAGCGGGGGGCCCGGAGGGCCGAGCAGACCGGCGGCGCCGGGCGAGGGCGGGCGCCGGCGGGGGTGTGTGTGTGTGTGGCGGGGGAAGCGGGAGGCGAAGCGGCGGGAGGCGGCGGTGCCCGGGGCGGCTGCGAGGGCGCCGGGACCGTCCCAGGCCAGGGAGCCGGCAGAGCAGGAGGAAGTGGGTGCCCCCTCTGCCCCTCCAGCGCCCCCTCCCGCCGCCGCCGCCTCCCCAGTCACAGGCGCGTCCTCCGCGCACGTGTGCGAAACGTCACCGGCGGGTCCCGGGGAGACGGACAGACCCTGGCGGCGGGACGGGAACCGACTGCCCCCGCCCAGGGGCGGAGAGGAAAGAGGGGGGGGGACGGGGCCCGAGGAGGCGAGGGGGGCCCAGCCTCGTCGGAGAGGCGGGTCCAAGGCAGGCCCCGGGGGCCCGGCGAGCAAAAGGAGGCCACGCGGGCGCCGCCAGGATGCGCCCAGGCCGAGCGCCAGCCAGCCCCGAGAACCCCCCTCGGCCGGCCGGCCCACGCCCCAGCCGACCGCGCGCTCCTCCACCCCGACCCCGACTCCCCTCGGCCTCCCCCAGCCCTTCTGTGGCCCGCCCCCGGAGTTCACAGAGACCTCCCCCCAAAAAAAATGTTGTCAAGCGCAGCCCGACCGAGCCCCTGCAACTGAGAGCTCTCTGCAGGAACCCCCTCCAGCCGCCCACGCGCCTCCGACAGTGGCGTGGGGGGTGAGCACCCCCACATACACACACACTAGGGTGGCAAGGTCTGCCCTGCCGGGGGGTCCCCCAACTCCCCAGTTCCCAGCTCCCTCCCCCACCCCTTCTCCATCCGGGGCGTGACCCCTTCCTACGCCCGAGAAAGAGGAAGCTTCAAGAGTTGGAGGGGAGGAGAACCACGGGGGAGGGGGAGTGGGGGGTAGGAGGTAGGGGGGGAAGAAGTGCAGGGGAAGCAGAGTTGAGGGGGGGGTTCCGAAAAGTTTGGGAGTGTGTTGCACGGGTCGCCCCGAAGCGGTCCCCGCTTGCACCCGGCGGCCGGGCCGCGCTCCCCGCCTCGCCGGCCAAGCGGCGCTCGGTGGGAAGGCGCAAGTCCAACAATGAGCCCTCGGACGAGGAGCAGCAAGGGCTCGGAGCAGGCCGGCCTGTCGCAGGCCCGCGCGGCTCGGCCTCGCGCTCCCGGGCCGCCCGCCACCCCCAGCCCCGCGCGCGCGCGCGGCCTTGCCCGCCGAGGCTCCCGGAGGGTTATTACCGGAGGGCCGCCGCCGTCCCCGCCGCCGCCTCCGCGTCCTGGCGCCGGCGCCTGCTGCAGCAGCCCGGCTGTGCTCGAGGGTCCGTGCGGGGTGCTGTAGAGGAGGCTGCCGGCCGTGGGCTCCGCGCCGGGGGCGCCGGGGGCGCTGGGGAGCAGGGGGCCGCCGGGCAGGGAGGAGGAGGAGCAGGACGTGGTGGAGGTGTTGGTGCTGAGGATCTGGATGTACGCGCCCGGGGCGGCGGCCGAGGCAGCGGCGAAGCCCGGGCTGGCCAGCAGTGCCCTTTTGTCCATGGAGGCTGCGGCGGCGACGACGGCCGCCCCCTCCCCGGCCCCGGCGGTCACCAGGTACTGCTCCAGGGCGGGCTGGATCCCTTTTCTCATTTCTCGCTCTTTGCTCTCTTTTTTTCTTTCTTTTTTTTAGTGTTATGCTGTATCCATGTATTGCTTTCTATTTCTTTATTATTATTATTATTATTTGCAGCCGGAGTTTCCAAGTCTCTCCTTCTCCTCGCTTCCCCGCCCGGCGCTTCCTTAGCCCCCTTCTCTCCTCTCTCTTTTCTTTTTATTTTTCCGCGCCGCGCAGGCCCCGGGGGCCAAAAATAATCGGGGCTCTGGAGAGAGGAGGGTCCTGGCCGCACGGATAGCTGGCCCCGAGACGGGATGGAGGCGTCGGGGGCGGCCGATGCAACGGATTGCGAGGCGGCGGCGGCAGCCCGGGCTGCTGCAGCCGGCAGCTGAAAAATGGCTCCAGGAAGCTGCTGCTGACAATGAATGAAGGGATACGGTTTACGCGCCAAGGTCCTCCCGCGAAACTCAGATTTCCCGCCGGCTTTTCAAACTAGATTTGCATATCCCCGCCCCCCAGCCCTCCGAGGCCCGTTCCGGCAGCCCATTGGGCCTGCAACTCCTCCCTTCCGTGCCAATCGCGCAGCAGGACCGCGCGGAGGGTGCTGTTCATTGGCTGCCGTGCATCGCGGTTGCCGGGGCGACAGGGGCTTCATTTGCATAGGCATCCGTGATTGGCTGGGAGCGGAGCAAGGGGTCTTTCCTTACGGGGTGGAGCAGAAGCCTTCCTTCGCTCCCACGGTGGCCACGCCCTCCGCAGGCCCCGCCCTCCGGCGCAGGCCCCGCCCCCCGGAGACCTGGGCAGGAACTCCGCTCTCCGCTCCCTGGACGTCCAGCTAAGCGCAAGTTTCGCTTTTGGGAATTGTCAAGGTGACCACGGGGACACTTCGGAGAAGTAGCTTTTTTTTTTTTTTTCTCTGGCTGGTCAGTGGAAGTGGATGAGCTTCGGCAGGAAATTTCTAACCCCCAGGCACCCACCCCATCCCAGCCCGAGGCAAGTTGGACAGTGCGGACGTCGCCTGGCAGGTGGCAATCGCGCCCCTTTAAATCGCGCGTCTCTGCCTCGCCGGAATCCAAGCCGTGCGGCGGCGAGAGCTGATCCCGAGCCCGGGGCTGACAGACAGAAGCATGTGGGCAGGCTGACTGGTGGGGGTAGGCGGCTCGGTTGTCGCGATGGCAGGCCCCGCTCCCTCCACGTTCCAGATCCTTCCCGGGAGCTTCATTCTCAGCATAGATTGCGTTTCAGTTTCAGACAAACAACAACAAACCCCCCCCACTCGTTTTGTCGCTTGAAATCGTACCGCGAAGTGTTGGCTCGAGTCCAGCAGACACCCGCCCGGGCCCACAAACACCCAGGGGCGGGTAATCAGGGCTAACCCAGAGCGGTTTCTAATCCTCCAGCAGTAATCCCAAGAAGCACTCGTTTCTAGGATGCTCTCCCCAGCTACACCCACAGGGGCCTGGAGCAGCCCGGGTTTCCTGCGAACTTTGCTCACCACCCCAACCAGGAAAGGCAAACTCAGGGCCACCTAGACCGAGGCCGAAACTTTAGGGTTTTTATTATTATTATTATTATTATTATTGTCAGGAGAAAATAAAATATTGCTGTTAAACGGACTTCCGGATTGTAGCGATTCAGGGGCTTTAGAATCAAAAACTGGGCCGGTGGAGATTGCTTTTGCAGGAAAGGAGACCTCTACAGGAACGTAGGGAAAGATGTGTGTGTACTTATTTATGTTCCTGTCGCTGGGAGTTATGCAAAACACCTGCTGGTTGAGGATGGCAATACCTTGAGCCCACTCACCAGAGTTAGATTATTCCTTCTGCCACCCACCGTACCCCAATCCATGGGTTCACGGCCCTATGAAACACCTCACAGCATTCCTTAATACTTCAGTCCTGTTACCCTTGCTGAAACAGAATATGTTACAATTGCTGGTAGGGGCTGGGACCATGGCTCACCTGGCTAGTCCTCTGTCCTCCATGCACTAGGATCTGTGTTCCAACTACTCCACCTCCCATCCAGGTCCCTTCTGAGACTTCGGGAAAGCAGTGGAGGATGGCCCAAAGCCTTGGGACCCCGCACCCTCGTGGGAGGCCTAGAGGAGGCTCCTGGCTTTGGATTTGGAACAGCTCAGCTCCAGTCATCTAGGTCATTTTGGGGAGTGAATATCGGATGGGAGATCTTTCTTTGTCTCTCTTTCTCTTTGTAAATCTGACTTTCCAAAAAAAAAAAAAAAGTAAAACATTGCTGGTAAACCTTGTACCAGGCTCAGGACTGTTTTTGTCATGGAGTCAAGCTTGTGGTTGGGGTTTCTTGACAGTGGTACACTGGCACTGTCTCGGGGGCTTATTAGCAATAAAGGACATGGGTTCCTGGTTGAGCTAGGAGTAGCGTATCAGCCCTTGTTTGGTCTTGTCCCTCCAGTGCTGTTAACTCAGTGCTGTCACCCCTTGCATGGCACGATGTGCAGAATCGCCCTTGGAGCATACATCCTGGAGTCCTGGGGGAGGGCCAACACCACATCACAGTCCTTACCAGCCTGCATTTCACCCCGAGAGAAGCCCGGAACTGGGACTGGGCACGGAGTCCTCTGTCGTTGAGCGCCCCGTGATTGCAGTGAGAAAGCACATGTTCACAACTCAGATCCACAAAGCTTTTAAATGTCCATCATTCTCTTTAGCCATTTGTTTTTTTCACGTAGGGTGTTTGGTAGAGAAACAGATATTTTGACATTCTTACACCCAGTGACCCCCTCTGATCAGGACTTTAAAGTGTTGAGCAAGAAGAGGTATTGGAAGCAAATAGCTAAAAATCTGAGGTAGTCTGTTCATTTGTACAGGAGGGTGCATGTTTCTGTAAAAACATAAAGGGTTTTGGGGGGCAAAGGGAGGTAAGTTCAAATTTTGTTTCTGCCTCTGACTGGAACCCTCTTCCTAGGCCTGGTGTGATAGCCTAGTGGCTGAAGTCCTTGCCTCTGCGTCTGTCGGGATCCCATATGGACGCTGGTTCTAATCCCGGTGGTCCCACTTCCCACCCTGTTCCCGCCTTGTGGCCTAGGAAAGCAGTCAAGGACAGACCAAAGCCTTGGGACCTTGCACCCGATGGGAGACCTGGAAGAGGTTCCTGGCTCCTGGCTTTAGATTGGTGCAGTACTGGCTGTTGTGGCTGCTTAGGGAGTGAATCAGCGGATGGAAGATCTTCCTCTCTGTTTCTCCTCCTCTCTATATATCTGACTTTCCAATAATTAAAAAAAAAAAAAACACCTTTTCCTGTTGAGCTGTTAAATAGGAACCCATATTGTAATGTTGTGACGAAAAGAGGCCGAGAGGCTATAAGAGTATACAGCAGGTGCTCAATACATGGTGCCTGCTGATAATACTGCTTGTTTTTGTGATTGTGGCCTTCCAGCTCCTTGGAGTCCTCTAATCTCCTGAGAGTCTCTGAGTGTCCACTTGTTGGGACAGCTTCAGAGGACTGGCAAGGTCAGATGCTGTCCACCCTGCTTCAACCTGCTCCTCTTAGTGGTCGGCTTCTGGCTTATTCTGAAGGCCGAGCCCTCCTCGCCTTCCCTTACAGGAAGAATCACAGATGGATCGCTCCACCAGTTACCACCTCTATCTCCTGTGGCTCTGACAGCAACCCCAGAGCAGCTGATTGTCCTAGAATCAGCCTATGTGGTTGTTTGAATGGTGGCCCTGAAAGATATGTCTGTACCCTAACCTCTGTAACCTGTCAGGGGGAGAGAGGGGTCATTGGAGAAGTAAGACTTGGGAGCTGGATTGTCTGGCAATGTCCCCTAAGTCTGATGGCTGGGCTCTGTTCCTTTAAGAGACAGCCGGAGGGGAGGAGAAAGCCATGGAGGGTGGGGAGGGCAGAGAGTGCCACAACTAGCCCCAAGCCAGGAAGTGCCAGCAGAATCTGAAAGGGACTAACAACAGGAGAACCCTCCCAAGCCCCTGGAGGGGTTGTGGCCCTGCCCACACCTTAGTTGTGGACTTCTGACCTCCAGGACTGGAGAAGAATAAATTTTTATTGTCCCAAGCCACACAGTTTATGATGACTTATATGACAGCCTGGGAAACTGCTTGTTGTCCTGAACCGTCAAGCCCTCTAACTAGCCATCTTTGTATGGATGCACGTACTGCTTGGGACACCGTGTTGCTGCCAGGCTGGCCTGTGAGTCCTGTGGGCGATTGATTTCTCAGAGCATGACTCGTTGACCAGAAGATGCAGATTGGCCCAAGGAGCTTATGCAAATGTGGATCTCTGAACTCCGCTTCAATCTACTGGATTAGGATCCTTTGGAGTGGGGTCCAAAGTCCCTCCAGGTAATTCCTTTGAGCTGCAGAGGCAAGACAGAAAACAACTGGATGCCTTTGGACTTTTTTCCAAGTCTCATTGCTGCAGCTAGACCTTCCAGCCATGGCCTATGTGCCACGGCGGGGTGCTTTTAATCTTCCTCTGGTCCCATCTCATCCTGGCTGTTCCCATTCTTGCACGCATGTGATACAGAAATGTGTGTACATATGACTACTGAGCACATGCAAAGTTTGATATTACAGTCCTCTCTGAAAGCCTTCCCTCTCTGGGGGCTGGTGTTGTAGTCTATCTGGTTGTCAACGCCTGAGATGCTGGTGTTCCATGTAGGCTCAGGTTGGTGTCTGAGATGCTCTGCTTCTGACTCAGCTTCCCGCTGATGCACCTGGGAAAGCAGCAGATGATGACCTAAGTATTTGGACCCCTGCCCCCATGTGGGAGACCCAGGAGAAGCTCCTGGCTTCAGCCTGGCCCAGCCTGGCCTCGGTGGACTTTTGGGGAGTGGGCCAGCAGATGGAGGGTCTCTCTTTTTTTTCCCTCCCTGCTTGTAACACTGTCTTTCAAAAAAAAAAAAAAAAAACCTTCTAAAATAAATGAAAGTCTTCACTTTAATTTAGAAATTCAATTTGACAACATTCACAGGTCCTGCATAACTTGCTCCCAAGTAACAGTATTATCTCACAAATCTATAGAAACTTAATGTTAAGTCCTCAGGTAGAAGAATTATCAATTTTGGTGGTTAAGGAAACTGCTCAAATAGAAAGTATGCAATATTGGGAGTCCAAACTGAGCCTTTCATTTAGCTCAATCAAATCTTGTCGCAATATTTTACTTAGAGCATGTAGTTTTAATTTTTAGGGTATGGATAAGTCTAGC